AACATAAATGCTTTTAAGTGTTAGACTATAGACAGATATTGCGTTGTAATAAACACAAACGTTTTAATAATAGGCACTCAGAATAAAGAAGCAACTTGAAAGATGATGAATTGAATGATTCAGTTTGGCGTCAGTTGCATGAAATGAAGTGAAAAAAATGGTCAAATTCCATGGAATGTGCAAACTATATTTATAACTATCATGCTTTTTCATTGTGAAGGATAAGATAAAGTAGGACAAAAATAGAGTAAGTATTTTACGAAATTTCGACAGCATCGGAAATTGCAAGATCAGCACAGTTCATAATCGTGATCAGGTGTAAGAACCAATTAGATCCAGAATTTTGCTGATAAAAAAATTGTCTAGGCGTTTTCATCCGCAGAAATGTTTCTACTATCCGATAGCTGCCTCAACAAAGTATGTTGGTTCTAGAATTAAACATGTTAAAATGAGTTTCATTACTCTCACAATTGTACAGAAATACCCTCACAATGTGATAAGGGCATTTGTCGCATTGTGAGACCAACAAAAAAGATTGACTATATTTTCAATTATTTCTAGAATAACTTTACCAACACTTAAGTTTTAACTCCTATTAGACATGCAAATACAGCACTGGCAACTATTGTTACTAGAAATTAATCACGATCCAGTCTCACGTGCCACATGGATAATGACTTTCACTTATAGAATTAGCTTTAATAGTAAACATTTTTCATGTTTTGTTCATAAAAATATTTTATGGATTTATTTTCTTTCCCTGCCAAATTTTAAATATCACATCGCTTAAAATGTACATCGTACATTTTGTACACTACAGTGATTGATAATAATTAATTAATATTTCCGGTTGTGGGTATTTATTGTCTATGAATAAATACACACAACGATGTTTTTGAATTGCTTGTTTAAAAAAAAACTAATAGTAATAATTCCAAGGAATTAATAAAATATTTCAAGCGTTCGCAAAAACTCAATATTTGATATGGTAAAATTGATTGCACTTTGTATAGTCATTTTAAGGCCAAATCGTTAATCAATGTCGTGCCTCTGACAATAAGATGGATTTTTTTTTTCCTACTTAATCTTAAAGTAACTCGTTTCAACAAGGTTTGAAGTCATGAGGATTGCTCGTGAACTTGCGAAATAATTAGTTTTGTTAAAAATTCTAAAAGATTCATGTCTGTAAAACTTCTTAACAAGACATATTGTCAACGATCCTTATAAAATGAGACAATTTTATTCACAAACTGTGTTAGAAAATGAAAATTACTTCACATTATGTATTTATATTTTGCGGTCTGTTGTGGTAAAAAAAAAGTCAAAATTTTACGGAAAATTTATTGTCATCTGATCATACAAATTTTCAGAATGTAATAAAGGCTAATTTCAATGACAATGTTACCAAATATACAGTCAATGATTTAAATGTACCAAATTAAGACAAAACTCCCTCGCCCCTTAAGTAGTTACATTAGTTTCTTAAATAAATTATAAAATTTACACATTAATATTCTTCGATTTTGGTTTGATGATAACTCATAAATTCGTAAACGTATTTAAGGTATTTTACTTAAAATCCCATAAACTAAAGCTAATTTTGATCGTAAAATGCACTATTTACTTTAATGAAGAATGCATTTCTAGATAAAAGGTGGAACAGAAGAACTAATCGCAAATTTTTATTTTTTCTACACTGCCAAAGCAAAATAATTAAGTCAAGTTATCCTGTTGAATATGACACTTTTGCTGCAGTTGATCTGAAGGATGTACATACTTGAACTTTAACTATGTACCAACTTTTGTATCGCGTGAACTAAATATTTATAGATAATTTTTCACAGAATACAGCGTAATAAAGACGTTTTTGTATCTTTATCTAATCTGTGGATCTTCACATCTGAAGTCTTATTTTGCAATTTGTAAAAATAAAAATTGGGCCAAAGATGTGGTAATTTTACAAATGTACAATAAATTTGCCAACATTGCCAAATGTAACAGTGGATGACATACAATCTCACAAAAGGAGAGTCTATAAAAACTCGTCAACACTTTCGAAAGTTTCATAGATTCCCTCCTACTTCATTAACCACAGCAAATAGAATACTGCTTAAGCTTAAGCTGCTTTCGATTTATTTAAACGCAATTAATTATAATAGAAAAAAAAAAGATTTAGATATTACAGTAAAGTATTTCATCTAACTAAAATTAGATTTTATTAGTAATTTATGAATTTGAGACTAAAAGTTTTATCTTTATCAAGTGCAGCCAAATTTTTATAAATACGAAGTTCATGGTAAAAACTGCATGATGTAGTGAAACCACTTTAATACTTCATTGTTCTATATTGAGTTTTAAAGTAAAGTTCGATGTTAGAAACATAAAAACATAAACTTCGTATACAATATATCTTAAGGACTACTTACGTATAATATTGGCAGAGGTTTTTTTTTTTTTTGTTAAAAAGTACATTATCTTCTAAACCACGTTGATAATTTGTTGGCAATAATCATAATAAGAACTATGTACAAATGTAATAAATAAAATTAATTACGCAACACAATTTCACAAAAAAAAACTGTTGGCTGAATATGTTGCAAATTTCATATTGCAGTTGCGAATTTTTCATTAAAAAATTGGTCGAATCTCATTAGACTGAACTTCTCTCACATCAAGTACAATCAAAGAAATTAAAGTCTTTAAAAAAATGTAGATAATATCAGTCACAGTGTAAGAAAAAGAAAGAGGAGATCGAGGTCATGATCTTCGCGTTATTAGTACCTGTTCCAATAAACTTAGCTATGAGCAGTTACTGAACGTTCTTCTTAATATTACCACAAAACGTTATAATACAATTTTGATTTTTTTTTTTAGGAAAATTTGGATGCCTAGGGTAAAAACTCAAGACGAATTCATAAACCACAAATATAGGTGTATGTTATTTTATAAAATTTTAAAGCATTTACCATGCAAAATTTTAAGGTAACGTCATCAGATTATTTGTGCAGATGATTGGACAAATTTTGGTTTGTCACTTTGGCCACCGCGTATCAGTCGACCTACACATCCTCAGAAAAACCTCTTATCAGTGCATTTCAACAAATAGACGACATGATTATGAACCTGGTGGTGTGGAACCGCATTAAAACACAGCAATATAATTGGTTGCATATGTCTAATATTAAAAATACATAGTAATTCACGAGAGTCCCGCACCTGAAAATTAAAACTCGACCAGAAATACAATTTCGAAACAATCTTTGATTTTTCAAACATTTTTTTTAAGTCAAACATAGTAGTTATCCATTTTAGTAATAGTTATTTAAACAATGAAAAGACATAAATTTTGATATGTGGTGATGCAATGGAGATAACATTTAAAATATTGATTTGTAGAAAAATTAGTTCTTTTAGAGCTCTTGTAAAATAATAATAGTAAAAATATCAAAATCTGCCGTGAAGCTCTATTGTTGGTTGCGTTTTGAATTTTTTTAGCCGTGGGTGCTGTATTTTAGAATTAAACAAGTTTAATAAAAATAAAAACGCTCAGAAATATTGCCGTCCAACATAATTGTTGCTAAAAGTTGAAGCATAAGACTTCTGCAGGTTACGGCAACATCAGATTCTAGAATGTGGTCATAAATTAATCAAACTAAACTTTTTGGAACCACGACGGAGGAAATCCAGATTTGTATTCATTTGTTTCAGACAAATTTTATTTTGGGTTGAAATAAATTGATTTAATATCGAAATCTTCCGATTGTTTGCTGTAAAAATTTCTATCCTTACAAAATTTTAAAAGTCAATTGGTACAATTTACGCAACAATTGTCCAACCATAAAGGTGGGAGAAACTGTTTTATCCGGACGTAAATTCCAGGTAGCGTGTCCATTCATGTTTGACGGATTTAAAATACCAGGATTAGGATATATCTATAATTAACGTTACAATCGTTTCTCGAAAAAATCAATTATTTAAACCGAACTTCCTTCGCTCCTGAAGCAAAGTCAGTGCTAAGAGGTTTATCATTCGTTTTTCGTAAGGACATATATTTTAATTTTATATGTAAAGCACGAGATTATTCCATTCTTAGAATTTTAGACTCGTTTTTGAAATGACAAAAAAATTTGATGGACAGGTTGACAATAAAACATAAAGATTGCGAATGTGAGGAAAATGGATAACAATCCAAAAATAAGGTGTGCATCTAACATACGAGATCAGTTTTCATCTCTAAATTAGGCAAATTATACAGACATTTATGTTGTAATTAAACAGTGTAGCAAATTTTATACTTGAAGTTATAAAAATAAATGACATATTTTAATACATCTTAGTTCCGCACACTTAGTGTTAATACAATATCCCCATACCCATTCTTGTTCTCACATATTATATGTATTACAAATAAAATAAATACAGTGGTACTTAGAACTTCAAGACAAACAGAATTTCCTCAATGATAAAAATCAAATAAAAAGATAAAAGCAACTTACCTTGTTTATAATCGAATCATTTACTAAACTTATTTAAATCTACGACATAAAAACGCTCGATTGTGTATCACCTTATCTAATAACAATAAGTAGACTAGCATATATATGTCTTAGCAACCCAGCGATTAATAAACGATTAAACTTAAAGTTTCAGATTTTTCTGAATTTCTTCCAGTAAAGAAGCCGACTTCAGCAACTTCTGCCGTTCTGCTTCAGTGAGGCACTGATTTACTATGTTTGTAACACCATTCCCACCCAAAACTGCTGGAAGGGATAGGAAGACATCCTGTTCGATTTCATGATGACCCTAAAGAACAATAAAAACTGTAAGCGTTGCAATAAATTTAAAAAAACGGATCTAACTATTTGTAAGTATATGTGATATATAATAAGAACGCGGTACAATCTTTTTGTTTGTGTACCTGTTGTGGCATAATGTAGAACTAAAAATAAGACGTACCAGGATATAAAAAATTATTTTTATTTAAGAGGGAAGTTAATTAATTTATCACACATTCATATCATTTATTTCACATTATTACACGTTTCAGTAAAAAAATAAATAATTCAATAAATAAAACGTAATAAGAACACAAAACATAAGCATCAAAAAACATTGGCTAAAACGACACGATATTTACTTACAATAATTATACAGTCAATTAAATACAGTACAATTGGCACCAATACATAAAATGCGAATCAGGTCACAATAAGTACGTATATAAGAGCAATTCGTTTAAAGTTTGAGATTTGATTGCACTTCATGTATAAGAGATGCTGATTTTTGAAGATGGCCTTTTTCCGTTTCACTTAGAGGTTGTACCACAACTTGAGAAACTCCATTTTCGCCTAAAACAGCTGGTAGCGACAAAAATACGTCCTGATCGACGCCATGGTAGCCCTGGTAATTAAAAATAAAATAGTTCTGGTTTTGCGTAAATAAAAACTTCGTGCAGGTACGCAGATTCAGAGATGTTGGTTGTATTGTCACAATTCACTAACCACATCAACAAACAGAAAAGTCGTTATGTGTGAGAGTTGTCAGTGTTACTTATGTTCATAATTATATACAATAAATATAAAAAATTATAAATTAAATCGTTTAGTTTTCCTAGTTGGAAAATTTTATTTTTTGGAAAACTGTTTTAAAATATATACAACCGTAAAACAATCGAATAGCTACTAAGTAAAAGTCAAATCAAATCATCACTAGTACAATAAAAAAATATTACGCAATTATATGAAGTACCCCAGGATTGAAAAAAGTCCTCTAAGAGGCCATGAAATTGACTTAAACTAATGATGTTGGTATTGCAGCTATTTGACAATTATTCCAGCGTAAGCGTCAAAGTGAATAAGAAACGCGTTGATGTTGCCAACATCATTATTTTAAAAATAAATTGCATGGCCTACTAGAGGGCTTTATACAAATTTTGAGACTAGTATTTTGTAACCGATAAAAAAGTCTGTCCATTAAGTAGATATAAATTTATCAAAAATTAATATTAAAAGAAATATATACACCGCAATTTTTTTAAACCTTCAAAACTTAACAGAAGAAAAATAAAATTTATTTTTTATTCATCGCGCAAACGTTTTTTCTTTTGTACCGTAGGTGAAACGACATTTTGTTATTATTTGACAGATGAATGCATATACGATTTTTAATAAAAATGAAATGCTTGCTAAATACGCTAAAGGAAATGAAAATGCTTTTGAACTTTGTATTCGTAAGGCGTAGTGCTTATGATCATAAGTAGAAAAAAGTGGTGTAATAATTATGTTTACACAACAAAAAGTCTAAACAATTTGTATGCGTTAGTTACGATAATTTCAATTACGTCACAGTGTAACTAATGTAGACACTACCAAATTCAAAATTTTAAGCAGTTGTCACTTATTTTAATTATAACTAAAGAGTAATGAATGAGTAGTACACAAACAACAATAACCAAATATTAACATAGTTATTTATTTATTTATTTAATCTTTCGAGTTTACGATTCCAATAATGACTGATGGATATATTAATACTATAACTACGTAATAATTCACACTGTTAATGTTCTACTCTTTAGTTATAACGGTTAAGGACTCTAACAAATCATGCAGTTAAAGCACACCAGAGTTAGTTAACTGATATTGAAATGTTAAAATACAAAAGCAGACAAAAAGCATTAATTATGTCATTAAGGTGTGTTGAAACTCAATGTTTTGGAGTAAATTTTGCAGTTTTTAATACTGTATAAGCTCTTCAATTTGCCATCACTGAGCCAAAATTTGTGTAATTTTTATTTACTTGTAGTATTTACTAGATTATCCGGAAATACAGTACTACCTAACATTTCACTTATTACCCTGAAGGAACAGAAAAACCTTACGTACGGAACTCTAATTATAAACCAAGATCGGAATTTATGGGAGCGGATGACTGGACAGTGAATTTTTTTCCGATCATGAGAACTGCATTTAACATTATTCTAACAATTAAAATATTGCAACATCTACCGGATTGTTCCCGACAATTATAATTCAACACCAACAATATACAAATTTTGAAAACAAAATTACCCCAAAACAACATACTAAATAATATAAGGCAATTTTTTATTAGTGTTAATACTATTTTATCTGAAATATAATAATTATTGTTTACCTTAACATGAACTGACACAGCATGTATATGGAAACTGTTCTTGAGGATACTATGAGCCAATGATGCAGCACTTAGACCTATGGCCCAGTTAGTATAACCCTTAAGTTTGATAACTTGATAAGCCGAATCTACGACATTTTTATGTAGGTCTTCCCACTTCTCCGGATCCTCTTCTGTTCCAATCACCGGATTTATGTCACGTATACGAACACCAGCGATGTTTACACCAGACCATACTGCAACTATAACAAAAAATTATATATGTTACAACACAGATAGAGACTTAAGTTAAGTAGCCTACCACTGCTGTCTCCATGTTCCCCAATAATCCAGCCATGACAACTACCAGGAGCAACACCCAGTCTCTGCGACATCAAAAACCGAAATCTGGAAGAGTCAAGGTTGGTTCCTGACCCAATAACTCTGTTTTTAGGCAGTCCACTAAGCTTCCAGGCGACGTATGTCAGAATATCGACAGGATTGCTTACAATTAGCAAAATAGTGTTGGGAGAATATTTAACCAGATTTGGTATAATGTGTTTAAAAATGTCGGTGTTTCTCTGGACAAGGTCCAGACGTGATTCACCTTCGCGTTGACGGACTCCGGCAGTTACGATACACAAACGTGAGCCAGCGCTAGCAGCATAATCTGAAATAAACATAATAATTATTAGGCACACTATACTTACATAGTACATAGGTAATCATAATCTAAATATTGGTGCTGAGTCGTGAGTACCGTATCCACAAACAGTGTTACCAGTACCAAATCACTTACCAGTACTTGCATTAATTCTGGGATTTTTTAAAAATAGTGACCCGTGTTGGAGGTCCATCATTTCTCCTTGTAACTTGTCTTCTACGCAGTCAATAAGTACAACATCGTGGGAGATTCCCTGGAAAAATTACGAATCTTAGTGTTAAGTCATACAAATAGTTTGTTTTTTTACTTGAGCTAAAACACTAAATGCAACAGCCATTCCTACTTGTCCAACGCCAACAACAGTAACTTTGTTGTCGGTGTCTACAATGGCAGATGCCACTTCGGACAACAGGGCGTTCTTGGTTGAAGTCATATCTGTAATAACAAAAAATATGTGAAAAGATGTACTTTATATCGTTTTCGAAATTTAATATATGGGTTTAACGCGTTCGAGTAAAATTACATAGTGGTATTAATATTTCATGTTATCGACGTAAAGGGGTTAATGTGACGTATGTAAATAATTTCATACTTCTGGCATGAATTCGCAGATATGAGTAAACAAATATAAATTGGATCCAAACAGAGAAAGCATATGATAAGCGTCAAGCGCATATAAAAATAGAACAACGACTAGCTTTCAACCACATGCTCAAATAAATTTAGCACTTTTATGAACCACATTTCTCTTGACGTTTTATTTATATAAATCTCAATTGGATACTGCTTTACGTATTGGTGCACGACCTCTTTTATCAACTGTACCCATATGTGAAAAAAATACGAAATATAGGTAAAGTACGAGATTTTTGTAATAGTGTTTACTTTCATCGTCGAAAGCATTTGTTTTGTCTTGGCGAGGTCATGGTTATAGTATGTAGCTGGAAATGTTTTTTTTTTCAATGTTTGTGTGAGTGGTATATAAGTATTAAATAAAAAGTGGCCAGTGATCTATATTACAGGACTTCAAGAAAGTTTTGCTGGGGAAAAAAGCTAGGGAGGAAATTATGATAACACTCACCAAAAAAGTAACCTAAATCAATGAGTGACAAATTTTAATTTAAATAACTATGATAAGTATTTAGTAATCGTTCAAGAATTTCTGGCTATATCTTTATTAGTACCTTAGGTTAGGTTTTCACTGATCACTTTTAAATGCACAGACACTACGTCTAAATCAAATGACTAGAGGTAATTTTAATATATATTTACGTTCTTATCAGTGACCGTGATAAGTAATCAGATAACATTTAATGCAAATAAAGAAAAAGTGCCGAACAACTTAAATATCACAAAGAATACTCTAACAATACATTATACACAACTACTACGTATTAAACAAACTTATGAATACTTGCTAATTATTAAATAAATTCAAATTAATCTTACTGCTCTAAAATTTTCAAATTCAGCAAGTAGTTTTTTTAGTTGATTCCTTTGATACACAAACGTATTAAAGTCAAGGTTCAAAGTCAAATACATAGAAAATCACCTACTAAACTAGATATGATGTTTGTTAAAGATGAAACAAAATCAATGCAAAACAAATTGCAGTAAAAATTGATAAAAAATTTAAACTCTCTTGTTGAAGTTGGTAAGTTTTAAAATGATAGTGATATAAATTTGATGTTGATCCTATTAGAATTCTACTATATTGTATATTGTAGTAAACCAGTCTACTATTCAATTTTATTGTTTTCATAAGTATTGTGGGTATAAAATACAGTTATTGATCACGATGTAGCATAATTATTATTTTTTAATTTGATATTTAAAGCAATATTCTTCTTTTTCATATTATTATTATATTATTAAAACGGTTCCCTAAAAACGCATTATAATTTATAACTTAAAATTTTATTTAAATAAACTGAGAGAATTGAGCTTTGATTACCAAAAAATTTTTAGTCAAAATGTCTGCTCAAGGTGACCTTCAAACTTTCAAAAGTTCAGCAAACTGTAAGATGTACAAACTAAAAATAGAAAAAAAATGAAATCGGCTGAATTAGTTGCGTACAGTTTTTTAAATAATGAAAGCATAAAATTGAGGCCGATCTTAAAAGTTTTCATAAACTTTATTTTTTTCCTCAACATTTAAATTATAAATTAAATAATAATTAATAGAAAAAAGATAAAATAAAAAAATTATAAACAAAAATGCCAACACGTACAAATGGTATTTTAAATTAAAACAAAATAAAAAAAAAATCGAAATGCAGAACCGGTCAGCGTCAAAATAAAATTCTAAATACAAAATTTAAAGCATTTTTTTCTTACCGATAACACCGGTTGAAACTTTAGTCAAAGAACACAGTTCACACCTGCCTAAAGCTTGAAACTTAGCGGCAGACTGGAGCAAGGTGACCTTTTTATACTAAACAAAATTTCGCTCCATGCGCATGCCTCCCCACGAAGACAATTTGCAGAAATACAGAGGGAACTCCCAGCCTGGCGTCACGTACACATAAAATGCTAAGCTTTGACGCATAGTTGTGAAATAAAATCTGCTGTCTGAAGACGTCCAGAAGTGGATATATCCATCTGTCCGCGGCTCCGACAGTGCCGGTCCGATCGATAACCACCGGTTGCTGAAAATATGCGCCCGAAATTTTGGCGGGAAATTATGGAAACTTGTGCAACAACGCGCGCATAGATGCAACCTGAAAGCGTGATTCACCTCGCGTATTACGGAGGATTGACATCGCTTCAATCGCCAATTTAGCGGAAAACGTTTACGTGCATATGCGCATGCACACAATACATGCACGTTAAATTTTTTGTCTGGCCCGAATGCATTATCCATAAAAGTTATTTTCAATGGAAAATAAAAGGCGAGTGGCCACTTGGCTTGCCAACAACTTTAAATTAGCGGTATACATTTTCCTGTCTTTTTCCACAAGACAAATTGACGAAAATAACACTGTGTCACATATACCTACTTGCAAGTACGTTAAGGGGGCGTTACGCGAAATGTTTAGTTAAAAGATTCTATATTTTGTAAACCACTTGCCAACATAGCCGTACCTTAATTTAGGTTCTGCAGTTAGCGACAGTACAAGCCAGAGACGGCTCGTACATACCTGGGTTGGACAGAGTTATTGTTACTGTTGTAATCATGTCATTATTATTATTATTACTATCATTGTTAATTTAGTAACAGTTACAAATTGACATATCCCTATGCGGGTGGGATCTATGCTACCATGACTTTCCAAGCGATAATACATATACATATAACAAAAAATACATGAGGGTAAAATAAGAGGAGGGAAGTTAGTTTGAAAACGTGACTGAAACTGACTGTTTCAGTGGAGTGCTGGAAAGCGTTTACCGGGTACTGGGCATAAAACAGAATATAAAAACAGTAGCAGTTAAATTTATTTGAGTTTTTATGTTGTTAAAAATATATTTCTTTTTAAGCTATAATTAAACAAATAGTAAGACATTTTTACTCCCTATGAATCTATTTTGAACCAAACGCGTACCACCCCTGAGTCTTTGCTGACAACCGACTGCTACCGATGTAGTATGTTTCTTTAATATTGCTCAAATGAGGCATACTCCCTCCTGTCCTTCTATCTGCATGAATAGAAGTACAGCAGATTAAGCAGAATGACTTCAAAACCCACTAGTGATCCGAAAATAACTTATCGTTATCGGTACTAAGACCAACTTAAAAGATTTCCAGATCATATTATTCTCTCTATCGCCTTAACCCTCTGAGCATTACAAAGCTTCTGATCTCACCTGTCTGGCGCTAAGCTATTCTCACCAGCATTATTAGTAAAGAGCGGATTCTAATGAGTACCTTTTTAGCATTTTTTCGACATTATTTTTCTGCATATTTTACCTTTTTTCTGCCTCTTTTTTCTATACCCCTAATAAGCAGATATTTCTTGTGATGGTCACATTTAATATTTCCGATACTAGAAAGGAAGATGGTCCAACCCTAGTTTTGGGTAAAAGGGTCGGGGGAATCCCGTTAGCAAAATGCCGACATTTCAATAACCCAAATCTATTTTTCTACGTAAACCACCAAAGAACAAATTTTATTACACAGCTAAGTACAAAGGTAAGTTTTTAATTTATTAAAACATCCATTTACAGACCCCGATACAAGTTGTCTCTTGCTTTTGAAGATGATTATAGAGTTAGAACAGATATTGGGATTCACGATTTTTGGATATCAGTTGATGAAACTACGAATTCTAATGGGCAATACGTTTCAAACATCGCAATGGGAAAGTTATGCTCAATACTATTTCCAACAAAAGCATCTCAAAGATAATTGGGCTTATATAAAAACCCATTTTACTATCTTAAAAGCAAGGACATACAGGGTGTCCCAGAATTCGCGCCATTCCCGTGAATGACATGTTCCCTGTCCCGAACTGTGCCGTAATTCGCAAAAAGAATTGTCCAGGCTTTAACGGTGTGAGAACTGGAAGGCGATTAAGTTGACCAATAGAGAGGCTGCTTTTATATCCGAACGTTTCTATGTTCAAAGTTACCTATGCCAAGAACAAAAAATTGGGTAATACTAAAGTTGAATGAATTTTTTCCGAATCCCCCTCCGTCAATAAAAGGAAACAGAAGTGTGGTTATAAATTTAATCATTTTGAAAATTGTTTGTCATAAACTGTCACGAAGTTCATCACTGACCTGAAGAGACGCTTCTGCGCCAAAGATGACTGATTAATGTACACAGAGACGTCAAGGTTTACTTTAAGGCCAGTAGCATGGGACAGAAGTTATTTCTGCGGCCATTCTAGTTAAATTGTGTTTAACTGGGCTGTACATGTCATAAGAGAAGCTGTTTCATTTCATCGTAGGCAAATAATACATTTATTACTATTCTACATAGTGTGGATACCGAAGAGCAGGTATTAGAAGTCATTTCCTTAGAGCCCCGTGAATAATGTGTTGTTTTTTTTAACGAAAATTAGTACATTTTCAGAATTCACTATGCATCATATCCCTGATATTAAGTTTATCGTTATTTCTAAAAAAGAGTACCACATGTCTATTCAAAGAACGTTATTAAGTGTACTAAAGAGAAGATGGATCTTTTCAGCCTAGTCGGAAAGGCCGTGCTGGGGCTCCACGGAATGTACGTGTAGGTGCTGAAGAGCAAGTGTTAGAAAACATGGAAGCGGATCCTAGGAGAAATGTCCGCTGCGTAGCGCAAATGAGTGGATGCTCAAGATCGACCACTCATCGTATCCTACAAGAGAGAAGACTGCATCCTTACCATTACACGAGGGTGCAGCATCTGCGACCAGCCGACTACCCGCAACGAGTACATTTTGCTCAATGGTTACTGCGACAAAATGAACTAAATCCTGATTTTTCACGGCGCATTCTTTTCACCGACGAATGTTCATTTTCCCGAGAAGGAATGTTTAATGCACACAATTGGCATTTCTGGGCACAACGAAAATTCACATCTCACTAGGGTGAGAGCATATCAGGAGCGATTTATTATTAATCTATGGGCTGGAATCATTGGTACTAGTGTGGTACAAATTTTAATACATCTGATAAAATTATCGCTAAACTCCGTTCCTGTTTATTTCGGTGGGGCCGTTTGTGTTACCTGATTACCTTAATGGGGAGGTATATGCTAATTTTCTACGACTAGAGCTTCCGACGTTGTTGGAAGACGTTCCTTTGAATGTACGGCGGAATATATGGTTTCAGCACAACTTTAAAGAAACTGTTTTAAATCATATGCAACATCAATATTATTCTTGAATAAGTCTCTGTTTTCATTATCTCCCCCACTTGATTGACACCACAGCAGGTACCTATGATCTCAATACACCAGAGAAGTGGAGTCTCGTCTATTTTTTCGTTGCTTAGATTAGGTATCAGCAACAAAGCTGTTCAGTAAAAATTGATACTGTTTATTGAAAATCATAAGCACCAATTAATCAAAAGCGATATTTATGTTTTAGTACACTTAATAACGTTCTTTGAATGGACGTGTGGTACTCTTTTTTAGAAATAACGATAAACTTAATATCAGGGATATGCTGCATAGTGAATTCTGAAAATGTACTAATTTTCGTTAAAAAGAACAACACATTATTCACGAGGCTCTAAGAAAATGACTTCTAATACCTGCTCTTCGGTATCTACACTATGTAGAATAGTAATAAATGTATTATTTGCCTACGATGAAATGAAACAGCTTCTCTTATGAAATGTACAGCCGAGTTAAACACAATTTAACTAGAATGGCGGCAGAAATAACTTCTGTCCCATGCTACTTGCCTTAAAGTAAACCTTGACGTCTCTGTGTACATTAATCAGTCATCTTTGGCGCAGAAGCGTCTCTTCAGGTCAGTGATGAACTTCGTGACAAACAATTGTCAAAATGATTAAATTTATAACCACACTTCTGTTTCCTTTTGTTGACGGAGGGGGATTCGGAAAAAATTCATTCAACTTTAGTATTACCCGATTTTTTGTTCTTGGCATAGGTAACTTTGAACATAGAAACGTTCGGATATAAAAGCAGCCTCTCTATTGGTCAACTTAATCGCCTTCCAGTTCTCACACGGTTAAAGCCTGGACAATTTTTTTGCGAATTACGGCACAGTTCGGGACAGGGAACATGTCATTCACGGGAATGGCGCGAATTCTGGGACACCCTGTATAACTAAAGTAAAGACCACTGGATTAACCTTAAGTCAGTCTGTGTATATATAATATATATAGTAGAGCAATTGTATAAAGGATTAGAAGATACCCCGGAGAAAGAGAGAGAATGGCATTTAAAAAGCTGCAAAATACTTTACAAAAAAAATGTAGGGTACCAAGAGCTTAAACTTGTCAGCCAAGTATTACAAGGCGAACATGTAGAAAAAGATTTAAAATTGAAACCCACTGAAATTTTTAATTTTAAATATTCTCTTTTAACATCGTGTGATGTTGCGAGATCCTTCTCTAGGTATAAAATTGTCCTAACAGACAAAACGAAAAAATTTTCTGCCGAAAATTTAGAAAAATATAATTAGTTATGCAACAAATTTTAACGAAGATTAGAATCACTAATTATGTAAAATAATAAAATAAATGTAGATCTCAGACGTGGCGTAAAATTCATTTTTCTTAAAATTGTTTTAAGCGCCTATTTTCCCATTTTTCAGGCCTAAATCCCCTAAATCGTTTTCATCGCTTATTTTAGCTTTTTTTAGCCTAAAATCTGCTCTTTAATTATTATTAGATTTAAAAAAATGATAAGAACATGACCGTTTCCAGCACAAGTACTTTTTGAATTTTGATAACCAATGGTTCTATTAAATTTATAAATTGAATTTAATTTATGATGTTCCAAAGGCCCTTATTAGGATTATCAAAACTATGTAATTATGACGAAG